CTCGATCCCAGGACCCTGAGATCATTACCTGAGCCGAAGGCAGACGCTTAACGACTGAGCCACCCAGGCGCCCTGAGGCTCTAGAATTTTAAATCATGAAGGATAGTGGGTCAAAAAAGACTTCCCACAGGAAGAGTAGCCTAATGAGTTTTAAATGTGTGGAATAGGAAGATGTAGGCAGAGGAAACACCCCAAACCAAAAGAAAGAAAATAGTAGGGAAAGAAATGTGTTTGGAAACATGAGAAAATTTCAGTGTGGTAGATGTGTATATGAGGGGGGTACATTCGAATATAAACCTAATACTAGGACAGGAGCTTGGATATTTGGGAGTCCTGGGAGTGATGTCTTTGACATTTAGCTCTAGAACAAATAACTGCAGTGGTATGGTGTATTGAATGGTTTAGGCTAAGGAGACAAGAATTGCAGGGAGATTAAACTTTCAGACACAAGATCAAAGCCTGTACTGACATAGTTAGAACTGCAGGGAATGGAAACGAGGGCACAGATTGGAGGATATTTGCCAAATATTTATTGAGCTCCTGTCTTACACAGTAGGTTTTATTTATATTAAGATCTTTTCTCTGGTGGAGGTACCTAGACCTCCAAAAGAAATCAGCTGAGGTTACATATGTAAAAAAAAGTTAATGAAGCTTTTCATTCACTTGATCATTTGTTAATTGCCTACCGTGTGCTAATAACTATGCTAGAGGTGGTTGTAGGAAATATAGATAACTAGATCTCTTTCTTAGAAGACTTTACATCCTTATGGAGGCAGCCTTGAATAATTACTCAGTTAAAATAATACTAGCTAAATGTTGATTTAATGAAATATGAAAATAATGAAAGATGCTTAATTTGTCTAATATTGATATATGGTGGAATGGGTTGAGAATGGAGAGGAAAAAAGACCATGGGAAATATGAATATACACAGGAGAATAGTTGCAGAGAAAAATAAGTCAGTTAATCGTATTCCAGAGGTACTCACATACTAGGCATGCTCCCAGTTGCAAAAATAACATGTTTGCCAAAGCTACCATATTAACTGGCACACAAATTAAGTATAGCCCTTTGGTTGTAGAAACATGGTTCAGTATTGCTATGATTTAAAGTATTTTTTTGTCTAAGTCACATAAGCTCATGAAATTTTCTTGCCTGTTCTCAGTATTTGTTATTTCTGTAGACAAGGGACGAGTGAGGCTTATTGTGCTTTTGAAGAAATACACCCATCTCATGCCTTTTTATAGCTTATTTATATTCACAACCACATATTAGAGGTTGATACTGCCTGTTGAGCATTTGTCTTGAGGCCAGATGAAATTAAGCCTACAAGTGCCATACCCTCCCTCATAACATTCTTAACAGTGTTCTTTGATACCTTAAGGTTTAGGTGTATTTTAAACTTGCAATCTTTCTATATAAGCTTTAAATTAAAGCTTCGTTCATTTTTTTTTAAAGATTTTTTATTTATTCACTTGAGAGAGAGAATGAGATAGAGAGAGCATGAGAGGGGGGAGGGTCAGAGGGAGAAGCAGGCTCCCCGCTGAGCAGGGAGCCCGACACGGGACTCGATCCAGGGACTCCGGGATCATGACCTGAGCCGAAGGCAGTGGCTTAACCAACTGAGCCACCCAGGCGCCCCAAAGCTTCGTTCATTTTAAAAGACATTCATGACTGCTGAAAAAATCATTTTTTATTTTAAGGGAAATGGCAACCACTTTTGCTCGCCTATGCCAACAAGTTGATATTACACAAAGACATCTGGAAGAAGAAATTGCTAGATTATCCAAAGAAATAGATCAGCTGGAGAAAATACAAAACAGTTCAAAGTTCTTAAGGTATTTGAACCTTTTTTCCCAATAATACGAACATTTATTGGTCTAATTACCTGAATATAATTATGTAAAATTACTAGTGAATTTGTATTAAAACTTTCTACATTGGCTTAAATTATTATTGTCCATATTCCATATGCTTTCCATTTTCAGTGAAACCTAATTTCAACAAGAAAAAGCAAATCTAAAAAGATTAAAAGGAATTTTTTAGATCTTTATCTAAAACTTTAAGCCATAGTAGTCCCCATTCAGAGCAGAAGTTTTGTAATTAAAAGTGCAAGGTTTTTGTTTTTGTTTTTTTAAGATTTATTTTAGAGAGTGGGTGCGTGCTTGCACACTTGTACCACCTGTGTGAGTTGGGGGGTGGGGCGGAGGGAAAGAATCTTCAAGCAGACTCTGCTGAGCCAGGAGCCTGATGCGGGGCTCAGTCCCAGGACCCATGAGCTCATGACCTGAGCCAAAACCAAGAGCTGGGCACTCAACTGACCGAGCCACCCAGGCGCCCCCAAAATGTGAGTTTTTAGTCCTGTGTATTCAAGACCCTTAACTTCCATTTTCATTGGGGGACTGTTGGGTGTGCTTAAATTTGAAGTAACAGAAGTAAACAAGATATCCTAACGCGCAATTCTTAGGTTTAATATTGACTTCTCATGGATTCTGTGGGGTCTAAGTAAAGTTTGCCTTTGGGAACCTGACCAGGAGTGTCACATGAGGTGACTACTTCTTTTTTTTTTTTTTAAACGTTTTATTTATTTATTCTTGAGAGTCAGAGAGACAGAGAGGCAGAGGCAGAGAGAGAAGCAGGCTCCCCGCCTAGCAGGGAGCCCGATGCGGGACTCGATCCCAGGACCCTGGGATCATGACCTGAGCCGAAGGCGGACGCTTAACCATCTGAGCCACCCGGGCGCCCAAGGTGACTACTTCTTGGTAGTTCCTGACTTTCAGCTTTTACCCCTTAGCTAGCTCACCAAGTATCAGTAAGCGTCAGTTAATTCCTGCTGCCGTTTACCAGGGCGTGTGCTACATACAGTTGCCCATGTAAGAGCAGCTTGCAGTGTCTCCAAATTGAGCTAAATTTTGGGACATACATCTAAAAAACGTGCAGTCGAGTCTATCCACAGTGTCTTAATCTGATCCGCAGTGACATTTGTCATCGCTCCTCAATTTCATAATCTCTGGAAAAGACAACCGCCTGTCACTTAGACCCCAACCTCCTTATACATACAAACACACCCAAGTAAATTTCTTTATTCCGTTCCGCCTGTTTTAAGCTAGATCATCTCAATGTCTTTCAAATTTAGTAGAATTTTTTTTTTTACTTAGGTGTTTTTTTTAGTAGTGTTTCATCTTGTTAGAGTAAAATGTAAATGATACTATTGGCACCTGCTGTAGCTGTTTGATTTTGACAGGACTGACTTGGGTAAGTATGAATAGTTTTGATCTGCTAATCCTTTTCCTAACAGGAAAGTTTAAAATAACAAATACCATAATGTTTAGAATCTCCATTGTTACTAGATTAGGCTCAGAGATTCAGATAAAATTTAATTTACCTCATGCTTCAGGACAGTTGCCTGAAGACGCATACAGTGGAGTCCATATGTACATTAACTCATATGACCTTGACCATATGCACCGAGCAACAGTACAAGACCAAGAGAAAAGAGCAGCTCATTCAAGTATGTGCGTGCCCTGGCATAGTATGAGAATGGGAGACACAGTCTGTGTTCCTCTGTCAATGTTAGTTCCTGTTTTCCTCTTGTTAGGGTATTTGGCTGCATCAGGTATGATTCTAGTATTAAAAAAACTTTTGGTATACCATGGTTCTTTGACATCTGACAGCTACTTTATGTATACAGAAAATATTATTCTACACTATGTGCTTAACTTAAAGGGGAATTCAAGGACAGTTAGGACTGTGACTTAGAATATAACTCCCATGTAAGGTAACAGGACTCCGTTGTCTCTTAGGCTTTTCATTCTTAAGTTTTTGGTTTTTATCTCAGTGTACCTTTTTAAAGTTCTGGACATTGGATTCTGTGTTTACAGCAAAGCTATAATAGCATATATACATACTCTTAAAAGGTTGATAATAGTTTAATCTGAGTTCAGATATTATAGCAGCACCTGACTAGTGATTTTCTTCTTAAGATTGGATGGAATGCATTTTTTTCTCATTGGCTTTTATGATAATTAGATTGGTGTTTTATTCATTTTTTTAAATTAGAAATAAAGCTGTTCAACTTGAAAATGAGCTGGAGAATTTTACTAAGCAGTTTCTACATTCAAGCAAGGAAGAAGAATCTTAACAGAGATTGCTTTGGTGATCATCATAGGAGAAAATGGAACTTGGAAGACTGGGACAGTTGTTTATGAAATGACTTTAAATATGAATTATACTAACTGTACCTAAATTGCAAATCCTTGTGTAGATTCTGGTAATGATCTGTCTCAGGGTGTTTGCATTTCTGAAGAGTGTTATGATGTATTTTTAGTTTTAATTTTGGGTAAAGAAAAGGCTAAATTGTGTTTAAAATGATGAATTAGTTAAAAGCAACAGAACCATGTGACCCCTGAGGGGTGGGGCCTTGTTCTTAATTAGGGCTCTCTTTGTTTTTGATTCTGAAAAACTCTGCTTCCTGGCATCCAGGAGTTAGAGAATGCTCCTTTCATCTTAAAACTAATTTTTGATGCCTACCTTAATGGGAATAGTCATTTGTTTTTTGTTGTTTTATAAACTGTATTGCTCTATCAAGGAGGAGTGTGGAATGTTCTTGAGTATATTGTTTATGCAAGTTACAATCACTTTTGCCGTCCTGGCAGGTATGTAAACCACTAATATACTGTTTTTACTCCCTTTTTTCCCATTAAAACTGATGTAAAATAGTATAAAGGTTTGGTATCATAAAGTCTCTCATAAAAGTATCGGGGTCTGAATAGTTTCTAAAGAAACGTTTTCCGCTTCAACTAGGATTAGGGCAAGGAAACCTTTCTACTCAGTTTTAGGAATAGTTTGATAAAAATAGCTAAAGATATGGGAGCTCTGAATTTTCGGTGGTTATGGTCATGAACAAATGTTATTCTTCAGAAGGTATTCGCCAAGGATACTGCTGGACTGTCCCTCTGGGTGGCCTTTATTTTTATTGAATGAATTTGCCAGGGCACTGTTAATACTAAATTTTTAACAGTGAAATGTTCATGAGTTCAAGTACTGTGTCTGTTTCTGTGTAAAAATTAATAGAAACTTATTTGGAAACATAAAAAATGGCATTCTAGGGCTTTGCTACGCAAAATGTAGTCTGAGGATCACCAAAGCAGCAGCATCTAGATGCTTGTTAGATGCATGACGACAGTGCATTTGGCCAGGGATGGTTTCTGCTTCTCCACAGAGCAATACCATGTTAGGCTCTTTTATATCCATAATACTCAATATTTCCTTTCTTGTGCCTTTAAGGCTCCTGGATGCTACTCAGTCTTTTCATAGCAGGTGCAGCACTATTTTCCAGGATGTTTTAAGGAGAAAATTACATTACTTAGGTCACAGAAGCCTTTCAAAAATATATTTTTATGCAGATCATATACTGGAATACAGTATTAAAATCCAAAAACTAGTTTATAGCTTTGGTTGTTGCTTTATAACCAAAAAATAGTACAAGCTACCAACAAATGGAATTAGGTAGCAACTGCCACGTGAAAAACTTGAGGTCTAAGACTGGGTACTGCGAATTTAGGTTTAAGACCTTAATCTTTATGTGAAAGTACTTGAACTTTTTGAAATAGCATAGTGGTTTGGTATCACCTCCTTAGTAGTAGTACAGTGGCTGTCAAAGTTTGGTGCCTGGATTAACTGTACATCACTTGTGAACTTCTGAGAAGTGCATACTGCAGGGTCTCCCCCTGACCTACTGAATCCAGTAGTGTTGCAGCCTGTTTTAACAAGCTGTCCAGGTGATCCTGAGGCACACTCAAGTTTGAGAACTACTGAAATAGTGATTCTGGTATAGTGAAGCTACAGTAAGTTCTGCAATACCAGTTTGAATGCAGTTCCACCTGATCAAGTTTGAAAATGCATGAATGTTGGAAACGTAACACTAAAATAATGAAACCCAACCTTTAGGCCTGGAGATCTTTGCACCTCTGACTAAGCCCATGAATTATACAGATACAGGAATTATGTAATTCACAGCTGTAGTTCAAAGTTGTTGCACATACTTGATGGTTTACTATATATGTTTGCAGGATTATTTATAACTTTGTATAACCGTAAACTTTTTACAGAACTACATTTTTATAAGTATGCAAGGTGAAAATAAAACTTGTTTGCCTGATAGTTGATAAATGTAGCATTTATACTGGCAGTGAGTTTTAATCTTCATGTTTGCAGTAGGCATGTACAGTATCTTGGGTAGACTGGCTCATGCACCTAGCCAAGTAAGGAAGTTCCCTCGCATAACTTTGTAGCCTTTTAACAGTAGGTAGCATTCATAGTGGTAAGGAGTAGGTTAAGGAAAGGAAAAAGGCTTGGAGTTTACTTCTGAGGCTTAATTTTTAGTGTGATTAAGATTTTATTTATTCATTTCAGAAGGGGTGGGGTGGGGTGGGGGGAAGCAGAGGGAGAGGAAGCAGGCTCCTCACTGAGCAGGGAATCTGAGCAATGTGGGGCTCAATCCCAGAACCCTGGGATCATGATCTGAGCTGAAAGCAGATGCTTAACCAACTGAGCCACAAAAACACACTTCATGAAGTCTGGTTAAAAGCACTTTATTGATTACAATATCAATTCACAGCAACATTTCACAGAGCTACTGTACAAATAAAGGAATGAATCATTGTGCAAGAAAGATCCAAGAATACTATTAAATCATGGTACAAGTCCATAGTTTGGCTTAAAGCTTTTATGAGCTTTAATCTACGTTCACCTTGCCCATAGTCCTACTACTGACATTCAAAGTCAATTGGCTACAAGTTTGTAGAAACCACTGTAGGTGAAGAAAAACATTTTAATCAGCTTTAAAAACCCACTTCTATGTGGATGCCTTTGGATAAGAATATGCGAATCCAAGTGTTCAGATGCTTTGAAAACAATAGAGCACCATTGTGTAAAAGACAAAAGGCTTGAAATATCTACCAAGTATCACTGAAGTTCAATTAAAAAATAAATACTATATGATGTAAGATTTTGTCGGGAACACTTAACACCAGCTGAAACACATAACCAGGTTTTTCATGATGCTGCATTATAACTATTTTATAGGATCAGTAATTGGATTTAAGAAAAAAGACTTAGGAAATTTTATCAACATGCAAACAAATCTGCTAAATACAAGGTGTACCATCAATCTGTGACTAATAAACTTTTAAAAGATGCACTGCTAGCTTAGACATTCAACTACAAACCATTTTAATGAGTACCTATTGTAACCAGTATTTTTAGATATACCACAGAATTTAAGGCAACTCAAAATGAGCAGGAGGAAAAACTAGTAAATATGAAACATAATACACCTAAACAGTCTAATTTAAAATACCTATTTTTTTCATTGTGCTACTCTTTCTCACAAGAAAGATGGTCTAACCTTTGAGGGTGTTCTAAAAAATTCTAACAGTTTAAAATTTTGCTTTCCACAATGGCAAAAGGGAAATCTGAAGCTGAACACAGTACTTGATTTAAAAGCAAAAATTTTTAAGCATGACTTATACCCTAAAGATTCTAGAGAGAATATTGTGAAAATGGTAGGCCCATTTCGAAGGCCCATTTAGAAGATTGTTTAATCAATTTCCATAAGTTTAAACATCAACAGATAAGCCACAAGTATTCACTTGCCTTGTAATTTAAAATGTGAAACATTCAACAGTAACCAAAGCATAAATTTCCCTGAATGTTTTCACTTTTAAAAAGGTTAATAACAATTATTAAGTCTAAGACCTCAATACTGTTGGAGAAGGCCAGTTATAATATTGGCACAGTATATTTTAGCAATAAAAATTTCATTGTCACCTGGAGAAGGCAAGATCCATTTCTCTTAATAGGTTAACTTTAAAATTGCTTAACACGTTCCAGAAGCACCTACATCCATATGTCTAGGATACCAGTTTACTATCATCATGCAGTATCAGTTCAGCTGAGTCTACATTAAAATAAGGAGAACGGCCTATTAGACTCTTAGAATTGAAATACTAAGCCCAAATTTTTGCCTCTGTGAAGATGAACTCAGTGTGGTGCATGGGACCATGGGATCCAAACTAGAAAAATCTGAGTGAGGGAGGGAGGGGCCTTGGATATTCAGTCTAAACCTCTAATACAGCTGCCAAAAATGAGGCCTGCCTGTCCATCAAGGTGGAGAGGTCTTTGCTATCAGCTTTCGGGACGATCTGCGGATCCACAGGGCAATCACTATCACTCTTTTTAGAAAAGAATACGTTCTCTTAAATTATTCTTGCCAGATCTGAAAAAACCACTCTTTAGGAAGTGATTAAGGAATCTATAAATAAACATGCTGAGGCATATTGTTTAATGTTTCTTATAAGGTAAAAGAAAACACGCACCAGATAAATGCAACAATCCTGATGCGAATTCTTTAAAACTGTACAGTAGTACTATATTACTCTTACTGGTTAAAAGTCTTATGCTCAACACTTGAGACTATCAGCTGAACTCAAACTGCAAGTAAATATATTTAGCAATTGGAACCTATATTACTAGAGAGCAAAGGTTTAGAAGTAAGTTAATGTGGTAATGAGGTCACCATTTGGTCATATGTATATAGCCACAACAGTGGTTGGGTCTTAGTTGCCTAGTACACATTTAACTATGGGAACTGCTTTTAAGCTTATCTACAAAGACTAACTCATTCTATCAACATGCTTAAGACCATGGATTTTCTTGTAGTCTGTGCCTCTCTGACAAAATTATCTTGTTATTAGAATAACTTTCAAAGAGGAAGAGATACTCTCATATATACATTATGTGGCTATTTTGCACATGGCAGAGTGCTTTCTTGAACAGGATTTTGGAATGAATTGCTGAACTACACGGCAAACCCTCACCTTCTTGGGAAATGAATATGTTCCTTTAAAATATTCTTGCCTTACCTCAAAGAGCTATTCTTTATGAAATGACAGTCCACAAACATTAACTGCAAAAAAAAGTTCATAGAAATCTTGTATGTGTTTATAAATACACATTCATGCCTGCCATCTACAATATATATTTTTGGTCCTATATCTTAATCTTTACCCATTTCCTTTTTATTATCAGCTATCTTAAAACTGATACAGACTTCATTATAGTTGATGCACTTACTAGCACATTCACAATATAAAAATGAAAATTCACAAGTGAAATTTGGGGAGTACTTAGATTAGGGTTACATGTGATCATAAGTTGAGACCTATCTCAATAGTAATGAACAAGGTTCACTAAATTACAAAAATAATGCACTTCTCTATATGAGAATAGTCCATGACTTCACCATCAAGCAAGACTAAATCTTCTACTGTCAATCATTTAGCTTTAGTTATAGGGGAGAAGTATCTTTGTTTAAATTGGGGAGGGGCATTCTAGTAATAGACACATTATATCATTGACAAACAGGAATTGCTTGGTACTTTCCTCTGACTCCTTTAAAGACTGCTTTCGGAATTTTTCTTCTGGCTGTAAAGTGGAGTCACTTGGATCTAAGCATTCTTTTTTGCGAAATCACTTAGAAACCATTATTTTGTGCCAAGAGAAGAATTACAGAAGTACAGAAGAGCAAAAAGTCTGAATATTTCCTTTTTTAAATTTAAGTCACAGATATATAAAATCTGAATTAATATAAACTATTTGAACATAAATTCATAAAGCTACCTCACTACACTAACTAATCAACTCTAGTGACTGGTTAGATATTAACGCTTCTTTTTCAACAACATAATGCCATCACGTATTTCCCATCTACATGTATATCAACGGAGAACACTGGGGAAAATTCTTCAGATGCAAGGACAATCCAAACGTTAATCTGAAATAATGAGTGTGCCCTACAAACTCAGTTCTAGAATATGACATCACTAGGAAAGCCCAACTATTTAGAGGGCTACTCAAAGTGTCATTTGATCATAACCAGATTTTTTAAACGTCAAGAACCGTTTTTATGCAATTAACTGCTGTCTATTAATATAATGAGTTTATGTATGTCTAAAATTTCAGAATGAAATCTCGATTCCCGGGCCTTCAGATTATCTCCCCCTCCAAGGACTGAAAATGAGCACTTATTTAAATTCATAGGATGGCAAAGGATGCACCAGAAACTAATGATATTCAACAGAGACTGCCCTCAGAGGTACCTAGGCCTGTGAGCATTCTTAAACATTAAGCAACCAGGAGCTCTTTTAGATTAAAAAGGAAGGTCAGAAATCAAGGAGACCTTCTTCAAACATAAGTACACATACATATGGGATCACTTCCATCTATTACTGTGCCTACTTCCTCCATTACAAAACTCAAAAATGCGGTATTTCTTATGTATAAAGTTAAAAATGTAGGTCTTAAAAAATGCAAACACAATCAAACATGATAAACGGCTATAATGTGTACATTCTGTCCTACACAAAGAAAATAGTTTGAGTACAAGCAAAAATTCATCAAGGTTAAATTAGCTCAACTCCTCAAGTTAATGCACTGGTCCTTTTGATCTCAGCAAGCACCCTTGCCTTTTTTTTTTTTCTTCCCCACTTGTTTTGTAGCTTACTGAAATATTTTTGTATATAATAATCTCAATAGAAAAATCTTCACCTGCAAATATAAGGTAGAGTTTTCTTCTCACAGCGATAGGCTGTAGCACTGATTTCTCCAGATCGCAACGGAGAACAGAAAACCTGTACGCGCTATTAATTCCAGATTCTAAGAAAACTGTCCCAAGAGCCTGTTGCTACAGCCATGCCGTCATCTGTTACACCTAAACAGCTGACACGGTTATCATGACCAGCAAGAACACCTGAAAAACAAAAGTTCAGTAAAAAGTTAACAGGCAACCTTCAGAATTAAACAAGTATATGCATAGAAGATCTAGAAGGGTATTTAAAACCTAAACGGGGAGCCTGGGCGCCAGGGGTAGCTAGATATGTGAGCAAAAACAATTCTTTGCATTACATGCATTTTTGACACCTACATCGGCCTCATGCTTATCACTTTTGAAATATTTTATAGTCATGCTTGGTTATATCTAGGAAAAGAGATGTATACTTTATTCTACATCTCTAATTAAAGTTCATGATCCGACAGCTGTTGCCACTGCTGTTCTCAAAACAAAATTTCAAATGCAGTTCAGTGAAGCAGTCTTTCACCACAAGAA